GTGTTTTTTCCGTTATTGTAACTGAGTTATTTCCTTTTTATATATTAGGTCTAATTTTTATTAAGATTGAACATTTTCTCTTTAAAAAAATTTTAATTATTTATTTAAAGTTGCATTATTACAAAATGCAAAAAAATTAGAAAACAGAAGCCAATACAAATTTGAGATTAACGTATTTGTTTTGATTTTATCCCACGTTTATTGTATCTCTACTCTCCATCGTCCAGAAAATCGATAAGAATGACACCTTAGTCTCTAAAAGCATATAACGTAAGATTTTCAAAATGTCTGAATATTTCGGGAAATGAGGTTCTTTAGATCCCATTGATTTCACCATAACCTATTCTCAAATAATAAAATTTTAGTTTTACCTATATTTAAAATTAATTTATGTTTTACTAGAAACTTATTAATCAGATTCAAATCGTGCCTTATACAGTGTTCCAGCACAAATTGACTACCCTCAGAATAATTTAAACCTATATTTAAAATTAATTTACATTTAACTAGAAACTTATATATCAGGTCCAAATCTTGCCTTATACAGTGTTCTAGACCAATTTGACTACCCTCAGAATACTTTAATACGGCGTCATCAGCATAAGGCTGAATATTCCTCCTTAAATTAAACTGCGAGATATAAACTCAACATATACCTTAAACAAACTGGGTTCCCTGAGGAACACCTTTACAAGTAGCAGCTGCGCTGCTACATCCGCCACCAATTTTAAATTTCTGCACTTAATTTTTATTAAAATTTTTGCCAATAAGATGCAAACAGAACCCCAATATTTACGTTGCGAACGATCGTGCCGAACTTCAAAAGTAGTACGTTCTTCTTTTTACTGAAGGTCCAAAAACAGTTTGCAATATATTTACTGCCGTATTTGAAATGTAACTAAAAGCGGTATAAGTTCACGAGCATATATCTTAATGAATTTGGAGGAAACATTATCATGTCCCGAATCAGCAGCTGACTTGAAAGAATTTACTATCGACCCCATTTCGTCAAAAGTTGTTGGAGCTAGTTCCACGTATGAAGCGGTTCTTTGATCACATTGACTCATATATGTATAATCAATCGAACCTGTAAGAATATTTAATACATTTGTAACGTTGAAGAAGTAATCGTTCATATTGTTTGCAATTTCTTGCCTATCAGTTATAGTACCATTATTCCTTTCAAGTTTTTCAATAGCACCCGTAGAATTCACGTTATTAGGATCACGTGAAATTTCCGCAGAATAATAGTTCTTTTTTTCTTGTGTAATAAGTCTATAAACCTGTCTTTTACTATTGTTATATAACATTTCTATTTGTATGTTAACCGGGTATTTTTTCATAAATTTATAGTACGACTCTTTAATTTTAATTTTATTTACGATTTCATTTGTAATCCATACGGATCAATTGCGTATTGTCCAGGATCAGTACATTTAAATCCCTAACAAAATCATCAAAGTTGTCATATGTTTGAAGCCCGGACAAAAAATTACTTTGTTTGACCTATAGATAGAAAATATATTTATTTTTAGATCAACCAAATTCACACCCAAAAGTGTGACCCGTTAAATTGTTCGGTAAACATTTCCATACTATTAATTTTTTCATGAACATAAATCGCTGCGCCACCGTAAGGCTTAGTACGATTAGACAAAAAATCTGATGTGGTCAGCACATAACCGACCGCAATACGTATTGTTCAGTTAAGTGAAAGTGTTACAGAATATTATAAAAATGCTTGTTAAGTACTTCTTTCCAATTTTTAGAGCATTAGTACGCTTTTAGTTAACATACCTAGAAAAATGTGAATTTGGCTCTTAGTAGAGTTTCGCTTTGGGCTACCTGAATTCCTTGAAATGTTAGTTTTGGTAACAGCCAGAACTCAAATATCAAATTTAAAGAAATTCCATCAATTCGTTCTGTAGATATGGTAAAAAATGTAAAACCGGCCTCCAGATCAATTTTTGAGCCGCGACCCTTCCAAAAAATTTATAGATTCATTGTTTTAACACCTCTAATTTAAATATTAAATTTCAATGAAATCATTTGGTTATTTCTCTTTATGTACACAAAAATGTATATTTGGCCCATAGTAAACGTCTACTTTCTGACCCCTGATTTTTTCCAAAAGGTAGGAGTTTTTGCATACGGTCCAATGAAGCTTATATATGAAATTTCAAGAAATCTGTTGAATATTGAACTCCATAAAAATGATATAATTTTCATCATATTTTTGTGATTTTTGCAAAAATTTTATGGTTGAATTTTATTAAAGTTTAATTAAAGTAAATAATTTCTTAGCATTTTTAGCACTTTTCCAAAAAATTTTTGAAAAAAAGTGCTTATTAGTTTCACTCTGTCCGTCCGCCGTCCGTCCGTCTGTCCGTGTGTCTGTTTACAAAACTTCTACACCCTTGAAGATAGAAAGCTGAAAGATCTTTACTAGAAACTTATTTTCGTAGAACAAAATTTTTACCTATCTCCCCCCCTCTAGAAGTTATACCCCTCCAAAACCATAAAAATGGCATTTTTTAACTATTTGTTGCAATGAAACCATAAGCATTTTTGAAATTTTGCAAACGCATAAAGGCAACGGCTTGCTTCTCCTAGCGCGGTATACTATAGTTAAACTTTTTTCGTTTTTTCTCTAGACCCCAGCCTGTAGAAGCTTGAAATTTCAGGGGCTTTTAGACATTAACAAATAGTTCATTTCGTTAGAAGAAAATTTTTTTCCATCTCCACCCCCTCTCAAGTTATCGCCTCTTGAAATTTGTAAAATTTGAAATTTTGACACCTTATATTACCGAAACCACAAGCTTTTTCAAATTTCTATAAACGCAGAAAGTTAACGGTAAATTCCATGACATTAAAAAATATAATTATTTTTCTTAACTCACACAATTAAAAATTAAAATCGAACATTATGTTAACCCGTCTTTATATTAATTTTTGCTTTATTTCAAAGACTGCTTATTTATATGCATAATCCTAAATATATGAAATCCTAGAAATAGTTTTGTACATATATGAATAAAAATAACTTTAATAGTGTGATAGGTATCCACAGACTGTATTTAAAAACAGAATTTTCACTTGTTGAAAGGAAAAGTGCTACAATACAAACCATTGGTTTGACCCAACTTTATTCTTTTTTGATTCTGAATGAAATTGTTTATATCAGAATTTTCGTTAATTTTCGTAGTTACTTTTTCGAATTAAAAAAAAAACTTAATAAGAAAGTTGTGCATCGATTATATCGGAAATTTTTATTTTGAATCACATTCTTGTATAAAATCCTTACTTCAGATTTTCGTGATGATAGTAAATGTAATATGCTGTATAATAACTATGTATATTTACCGACCGTATTGTGTATACAATAGGTAGGTTATGTGATGGCAACAAATTTTGCATATCGAATTTTCGGTGGGAATGCACTTCTCCATAGTAGGGAAGTGTAAATAAACTATTTTTAGCAACCTGTCGATCTGTCGGTCTATCGGTCTGTGTGTACGAGTCATGTGAGTAAACTCAAGTAAGGTCAATTCGAAAGACGACATCTCATTTCCGTCGTCTTCCTTTTATAAAATTTAACAAAATTTTCCGTTAACTTAAAATAATCAAATTCTTTCCCATAAATTTCATATATCTTATTCCATTATAAATTTGCATAATACAAAAAAAACTCATAGCCAACAGTAATTACTTTCACATAAAAAAATTGTTTTCACTTAAAAGCTAACATATCAAATTACTAAAATAAAATTAACAACCTTAAAGTAATTACTGCTGACTAAATAATTTCATGCTTCCAAGTACCTTAAGTTAATAAATTCAATTTTAAAAATCATTATTAAGTTTACTCTAGAATAAGTCGGTTAACTGTTATTCCGAAGAATAAAGTTAAATAAATAAATAAGTAACTAAAATTTAAATTTTGGTGTTTTTATTTTTTTTTATTACGAAAAAATAAAATAAACGTACTTGGCGCAGAACGGTAATTCTGCTATCCAAAGATAGACAGTTTAGTGATCGAACCTCACTAAGTGTTATAAATTTAAATTTATAGACAACTTAAAAATTTAAACTAAAGTTTAAGCTTTGCCAAATTTTTTTTTTTCAATTTGTAAAAATATTTAAAATTTTAAAATAGTAATCAAAAATAAATAAAAATAATTTAGAATTTTAAAATAGTAAAAAATAAAAAAGTAATTTAAAGTTTTAAAATACTTGATCATAATACATTTAAACCTGAAAAAATTAAAATAAAAACAAAAATCGAATGCCAAAAGAAAAAATAAAAAGTTAAAGACTTTTAATTTACGAAATTCCTGAAAAAACAGAAACAGAAATGGCATTAAATAGTGATAACACAAATAATAATAATAATAATAATAATAATAATAATAATAATCAATTTACTCTAAATGTCAGTGATTTATTAAGAGATGCTCAACGCATCCACGAATTCAGAGGAGGTGACGATTACGCTTTATCGTCATTTCTAAGAGAGGTTGATACTATATTACCTCTATTCAACAGTAATCCTGATCTAAAGCAATATGTCTTTCAAAGAACTATAATAAATAAGGTACAAGGACCAGCCTTAGAAGTCATAAGAACATTAGGACCAGATTCAACCTAGAATAACATGAAAGAAATCCTAGTCAACAACTTCGGCGTCAAGGAGATTTTTCATCAGCTGTACCAGGAGGCTCTATCTATAAAAGTTCAATCTGTAAGTTCAGTAAGTGAATTTTTTAATAAGTTAAAAGTTATATTAGGGAAAATAAATGAGAATTTTGAATTCGATGTAAATAAACCTAAGGAATTCAGCCCTAAAACAAATGAATCTGTAATTTTAGGAATTTTCTTAAATAATATAGATGCAAATTTGGCGTCTATAATAATAAATAAAAACATTCAGAGCTTAAGAGAAGCCTACAATACTTTAACTAGTTCAAATTTAATAAGAGAGAGAAATTCCAACAATAACAATGGCAATCGGTTTAATAATAAAAATAAATTTAGTAATATTGCAAAAAATAACAAAAGTTTTAATTCAAACTCAAATTATAATCAGAGAAATTTTAATTTTCCAAATAATAATAGATATTTAGGACACTCTAACAACTCAGGACAGACTAGATTTAATCGTAGCAATAACAACAACCATGCTAATAATTACAATAATAATAATAATAGTTTCAATAATTCTGGACGAACAAGATTCAATAATAATTATAGAGCTAATCACCAGGAACCGATGGAAGTGGATCATATTCAGGGTGAGGTAAATTTTCTTCCAACTGGGCAAAAACGAGTTTACCGATAGTACAACTAACAATAGAAAATGAAAAAATCAGATGTTTAATAGACACTGGTTCTTCAACCACTCTTTTAGATCATAATAAACTTCCTAGATATAAGAGGTATGATATTAAGAAACCTATCGCTTTTATCACCATAAATAGAACTATATATGTCAATAAAGAAAAAAAAAACAAATTTGCCTTTAGAGTTTAATGAAGATGCAGAAATGATCTGGAAACTAGTTAAATTTGACAATAAGGATTTTCATGGCATAATAGGTCAGAATCTTCTTAGGCCTCTAAAAGCAATAATTGATATGGAGCATGAGTTCTTAAAAATAAATAATAATAAAATCAAATTTTTAAATAGTTGTCCATATAATATAAATGAAATTCACCAACCAGATTACAATAGTATAAGTAACAATGACTTTGAAAATTTGACGAAATCTCTAAACTCTGAAGAAAAGACTCATTTAAATAAATTACATAAATAACTAAATAACTATAGCGATCTCTTCTTTAAAGAGGGAGACCATTTAACTAACACTACAGAAATTCAACATCAAATCATAACAACTATTGACAGACCGATATATTCTAATATATGCAGATACCCTCAAATACATGAGAAGGAAATATCGAAACAAATATCCGACATGCTTAAGCAAGGAATAATAAAAGAAAGCAACTCACCTTACAATAGAGATAGAGTGGAGAATTGTGATCAACTACCGTAAACTCAATGAAGTGACGGTTGACGACAAATTCCCCATTCCTAACATCGAGACTAAATTAGAAAAACTTAGCAGGGCACAATATTTCACCACTCTTGATCTTGCCAAAGGCTTTCATCAAATTTTGGTAAGGGAGGAAGATAGAAAGAAAACAGTCTTTTATACTCAGGGGCACTATGAGTATATAAGGATGCGCTTTGGCCTGAAAAATGCACCAGCCACTTTTCAGCGTCTAATGAATTCTATTCTTCGGATTTTATAAATAAAATATGTGTCGTCTATCTCGACGATACAATAATTTTCAGTACAAATCTAGCAGAACATATTAACAGTATAAAGTTGATATTTAATAAATTACGCACATTTAATCTTAATATTCAATTTGATAAATGCAATTTTTTTCGTAAGAAACCGAATATTTGGGCCATATTCTAACACCCGAAGGAGTTAGACCGAATCCCAAGAAGATTGAGAATATCCGTAAATTGAAATTACCGGAAACTCAAAAACAAATAAAATCGTTTTTAGGTATGTCTGGCTACTACCGCGAATTTATTCGAGACTACGCTAAGGTAGCCCAGCCCATGACTCAATACCTAAAGAAAAATGTGAAAGTGGACACAAACGACTCTAACTATATAAACTCTTTTGAAAAATTAAAAAAACTTGTTACTGAAACACCCATACTCAAGTACCCTGACTTTAACAAAAAATTTAAACTTGGAACAGATGCCAGCTAATATGCTATTGGTGCTGTTCTCCAACAAGACAGCCACCCAGTATGTTTCGCCAGTAGGACCCTCAACGAACATGAGAGGAAATACTTAGCAACTGAAAAAGAGCTATTAGCAATTGTGTGGTGGACGAATTACTTTAGACCCCTTTACGGTGTTAAGTTTGACTTACTAACTGACCATCAGCCATTAAAATGGTTACACTCGAAAACACAGGGTAAAGACGTTTACCCAGGACTATATCGTTGGCTACTTAAACTAGCGGAATGCAACATTAACATTCATTACATAAAGGGTAAAGAAAACAAATGAGCTGATTTTCTGAGCAGAATAAATAATGAGACTCATGAAATTAATGCAATCGAAACGATTGACTCAGAAAGGGGGAGTGACGAAGATACAAATTCTTTACACAACAATGCAGACGAAACCGAAACAGTACATTCTCAACAGGAAGACCTTAATGACCATATACCAATACTGGAGACGGTTGTGAACCGATTTAAAACACAACTTATTTTAACAGACCAAAAAATTAGAGAAATGGAGACAATACATAAGAATAGGAAAATTTATATAAATTCGCAAGACTTACAAAACAATCTATCCGACATTCTAAGAAGATACATAAAACCGGGTAAAATAGGAATTTACACAGACCTACCTGACCATAAATATAACATTTTGCAACAAAAATTAAAGGAACTGTTTAGTGACATTAAGGGAATAAAATTTGTCAAATGTTCATTTCATGCAAAAGACATGAAGACAGAAGACGAAACTTACAAACAAATAATCAAATATCATAGACTAGAGACTGGGCATACCGGAATTTTGGAAAAGTACGAGGGCTTAAAACGACATACGAGTATATACTTTCCGAACCTTAAGGTTCTTTTTCAAAAATACATTAACAATTGTGACACTTGTAAAAGAGCAAAGTATTACAGGAATCCAATAAGAGAAAAATTCAAATTAACTGAAACTCCTGAAAATATCAAACAGATTATACACATGGATGTATACACGAATTCTAAATCAAATTTCCTTACCTTCTTAAATAAATTCTATAAATTTGCAACCGCTTACTATCTCGAGGACAGAAACAACCAAACTATAATTGAAAGATTAAGGGAATACAAATGACAAAGAGGGCATTTTAAAAAATTAGTAACAGACAATGAATTTCGTAGCGTAAATATAAAGGACTTCTTAAGAAAATAAAATATAGAACTTCATTTAGTTAAACCGAATTTTCATACCGGGAATTCTGACATAGAACGATTACATAATACACTTAGCGAAAAAATTAAAATGTAAGGAATTGAAAATAAGGGCCTTAATATTAAAGAAAAAATTTTTAAGGCTTTGGAATGGTATAATAATAGTTATCATTCCACAACTAAGGAAGAGCGAATAAATATTCAGGAAGGTAAATGTGACATAAAAACAATTTATAATAATATCCTTAAAGAAAAAACTAGGTGTCTAAATAAAAATAATGCTAAAAGAGAAAATTACCAAGATGATAGAGTAGAAGGTTATATAAAAAATTATAAAAATGTTAGGCACAAAGAACAACCTAAATATATAAAACATGCTCTTGATAACATTCATTCTTCTAATATTAAGAGAAAGTCAAAATTTTCAGGTATAATTAATCTTCAAAATGCTATTGCTTACAATAATACTGACATTTTGCCAGGGACATCTAACAGTAGAAAAAATTAATACAGAACTTGGTTACTCAGAAATAAAACTGGACAATGTTAAATTAGTTAAGACTTATGATACAATTTTACATATAATTAATATTGAAAAAATTTCGAACATTTTAAATACTTTTGAATCAAACATAAAACTTGCTAACTTAAACGAAAGGGAAAACACTTTACAATTTCAAGTACAGACAATTCGTACAAAATTACAAACACTAGTTCCACACAGACAAAAACGTGGCTTAATCAATTTCGTAGGCACAGTACACAAATGGCTATATGGAACAATGGACAACACCGACAGATTAGAAATCGGAAACCCCTTAAATGTTATAAATCAAAATAACCATATGGCAATAACCAACATTAACAAACAAGTAAAGATTAATCAGAATTTTAATGAATCCTTCGTGAAACTTAAAGAAGCAATAGAACAAGACAGAAATACAATTTTGGGAAAATTTACACTGACTATGCATTAAAATTAAAAATCTTACAAGACAACATAGAACACTTACAAGATAACATATCATCGGCAAGATCAGGTACAATATACAGTAGTACTCGTATACTAACAAATGAGGAAATCATTGATTGACAAAATATTAAATTAGTAAGAGAGAGAGAGATCTTAGTTGAATCACACGTGTTATAAAAGGCAAAATTTGTTTTAATAAATTATATAGTGAATAATAGTTTAAATTGTTTGATTTAAATTTTTATTAACCAATTATATTATAAACTTTTATTTTATATTGGAGTTTTGTTGCAGTTTAAATAGTCATTTTAGTAAAAAGGAAAATAATTTTCCTATGTTGGAATGAAATTTACATACTGCAAAATCAGAACAAAATAAAAATGAGTGTAATTTGCATTGAGAAAAACTGTAAAAAACATATTAAAACTTCTGAGAATTTTATTTTATGTGCGTTTGGATGTGGTGGTGCAATTCATATTAAATGTGCTAAACTTACAACAGCTGATCAGCACTGTTTAAATACTAATAAAAATATAAAATATTCATGTGATGAGTGCAGCGGAAATGGCCTAGAAAGTATAAATAAAAAATTGAGTGAATTCCAAAATGAAATAAAATTATGCATGAAGAATATTAAAAATGATATTGCTTTATCTAATGTAAATAAAGAAAAAAAAAACCCTTTCTTATGCAGATCAATTAAAGTTGCCAATTATTGTAAAACCCAAAGGTAAACAAAAGAGTGCTGATACAATAAAAGAAATAAAGAATAAAATAAATCCGTCAGCGTTGTCTGCAAAATTAAATAGTGTTCATGAATTAAAAAATAATGGTGCTGTATCAATAAGTTGCGAAAATAAACAATCTGTCGAAAAAATACAAACCGAAATAAAAAACAAATTTGGAGAAAAGTATGAAGTACAAATTCCTTCTTTAAAAAATCCTAAAATTTTGGTAGTAGGTATGAGTGAAGAGCTTAATCCAAATGAAATTGAATGTGCAATTAAAGCACAAAACAATATTGAGATAAAAACAATTAAATGTTTAAAAGTGTATAAATCTGGAAAAGTATATAATTCGATAATTGAAATTGATGGTTGCGCGTTCAAAAAATTTGTAGAAGACGGTAAAGTGAACATAAAATGGAATCGTTGCAAAGTATATGAAAAAATTGATGTCATGAGATGTTATAATTGTTTAGGATATAATCATTCAGCTTCTAAGTGTAATATAGGTTCCTGTTGCTACAATTGTGGTGAAACAAATCATATAGCAAAGAATTGTACCAAAGACGCGATTTAATGTCTAAATTGTTGTAGAGCAAGAAAAGAGCTTAACTTATTAAATATTAATGTAGAACATAGCACTAAAAGTCTGGATTGCCCAATATATAAAAGAAAACTTAACATAGAAAAAAATAGAATAAGTTATTAGCAATTAAAGACAATTCAGTGTGCTTATCTTAATATACAGGGTGTTTTTAATAATTTTAATGAATTGGAATCTACCATATTAAATAAAGACTTCGAATTTATTTGTCTTAGTGAAACTCATTTATCTGATAACGATTCAGACGATTTGATAAAAGTAAATAGTTATAATATCGCTAGAGTAAATACATCTTCCCGTCACACTGGTGGAGTGCTAATTTATTTCAAAAAAGAGTGGTCTTTTGACGTTGTTAAATCGGTTTCAATCGGCTTAAAAATATCATGGCTTGTATTGAAACTTTACAAAGGCAACACAATACTATATTTAGCTGTGATATACAGATCACCAGGTTATATGAGTGCAAATGATGAATTTTACCAGCATTTTACTTCGTATATC